ATTAGAACAACCATGTTGTATGTTACTAGCAAGGTGTATTTGACAGACATGCACTATACTTCCACTTTGTACTTATTCTTAATTGTGTTATTCATAATGTCATCTTTTTTCTTTGACTTGGAAGTGAATTTTAGTGCACTATTGAGAGAAGGGTTCATAATATTGGTTAGAGCATAATTTTGAAATTTTCTCCAAATTACTGTGCTGTTGAACCTTGATTTTGACTTGATCTCTTACTTCTCCAGGACCTCCAGCAGATGTACTGTGCTTCTTGCTGTGCACGGTGGTGATGACCCACACAAAAACTAACCAGGATAAGATATTCAAACTTGCCTTCCCTTGTGACTTGAATACAAGGCGTAGTCAGTAGAAAGTACGGTTTCATACTCTAAAATGTAACAATGCTACAGTGAGAGTGGAAGTACCTTGTTTTAAATTCCTAGAATTCCTTATGTTAAATTCCCAGTAGAGCCTGTTCCAGAAGATATCTTAGTTTGAGGGATTTTCCATCCACTCTACAGTCTTTTAGTAGAGGAGATGGGGAATAGTTGCTTCTCTAGATAGGTACTTAATTGAACAGCTCTACATAGTCGATTGTGCTGCCTTAGGTTTTTCTGCTCTTCACCCAAGAATGTGTCTTGGTGTCAGGAAGGATAAAAAAATCACTTTTGTTAGGGTGAGAAACAATTCATCATTGCTCAGTGCAATTGTTGGTGCTTCTTTTGTTCATCTGTTTGCCCATAATGCTTTTTCCCCTCCTGCTTTGATGAGTATTAAAGTAAATAAGGTGATTTCATGTAGTCCACAATCAGGACACACTAGAAAAAAGATCTTTTTTAGCATATTCATCTGGAGAAAATGACTGATTTTTCAAATTTAAATTGTCTTTGCTTTTGAGGGTTAAGACAGGATTTGTGCAAAATTTATTTGAAACTTCAAATGAATAGGAAGACATCTCATAGTTTAACAGTGCAAATAAAAGACAAACTTTTAGGTTTGAGATAAGACATCTGTACCTGTGGCTCTGTGAAGTGCTAGGAAAAAGAGACAAAACTTTCCATTTGGCTTGGCTTGGAAAGGAACTTCTTCATCTCCTAGCATTAAGTGAAGCAGTTGTAGGACAGCTTTATACCTCCTACACAGAGCTTCAAGAGACGGTTCACTTGTCACCTCCAGTTGCACCTTTGTTTCCTGTGCGTAGCATTGGCAGTCAATAGAGCAGAGTTCCACTAATCCTAGTTAAAGTAATCAGTAGCTACTGCAGCTTCTTTGTACCTATGCAGCAGTGTCCAGACATAATGGCTCCAATAGTCAAATGCCTTATTTAAAAAGATAGGTCTCAAATTCTAAGCACTCTATCCTGAGAATTTTCTAATAACATGCTGTTCTTTAAGAACTTCACATCAGATCTCAATATTTGTTATCCCAATGTGTAACAGCATTCTTTAAAATATGTGGTAAAAGCCACAGAGGAGAAACATTATTTTTTTTTTAATACTGGATAATGTATTTCTAGTAGAAAATTTTCTGTAACATCATGCAGGATTCAGAATTTTTACATTTGGTGCAGAAGAAACACAGGTTTTGTGTTGCTTTGGACTAGTGGTGCTCCACCTTATGGCTAAAACAAAACATCCTAGAAAGCTAGTGATTTAGTCCATGTGTGTTCAAAGTTGCTTTGAAGTACTGTTGTGCCATGGCTAGTACAGAAGGACCTGACACTCCATTAGCAAGCACCATGAGAGTAACAAAACCAATTTCCTTTATATATTCTTAGCATTATTTTGATTTTTATTAATGTTCCTCTATAGGAAAAGTTTGGGTGCCTTTTTTGGTTACAGCCTACTTCAAGGCGTTAAGATGACTCAGGTTTTTTTCTTGGCCTTACGGTAATTTCATTCTGTGTGTTTAAGTAACTTTATTTGTCTCTGTCTCCTACGTTGGTTCCTAATGTGCAAAACTGGGACAACAGAAAGTCATGATGTCATCAAGTTCTTGTGAGGTAGACTCATTGCTGTGGTGAGATTTTATGATATGGTGATAAGTGCTGTAAAAATACCTGCATTTTGTGTGTCTCTGCATATATAGCATTTATCCAGCCATTATCATACTATTTAATGATAGTATTTTTCTACCCCTACCACTGCAGTAAGTGTCATGAATCTGTCTGGAAGCAGAAATCATCGCTCTTATGGAACTTTTGTAGTGGATCTCCTGCTCTGTCCTAGTGGTGAAAGGACACCTGCCAAGCATTGAAATGTGGGCAGGTGTTGCTCTGTGAGCACTCTCTCTCCTGTGTCTTCAGACACACCAAATCACAGTCCTTCTTGAGGCTCTCCTTTAAACACCAACACAACTTATTTTTTTTATTTGTTTCAATAGAGATTCCAATGTTTTCTGACAACTATTCTCTGTTTTCACATTGTAGTTATCAAGGTGACAGAGTTTTAAAACCTTCAGTAAATGTTGCAAAATATTTATTTTTGCAAAAAGAAACTCTTCTTTCTCTCTGTTTCCTTCAGAGATTTTTAGCCCCTGTCTAGGACTTGTAGTATATTTATAGCTTTTTAAATACAAGCACCATTTGAGGGCCTTTGGATATTCTTCTGCCTATACATGTGTAAATAATTGACTATCGTGTGTAAGTAATTGCACATGCAAATAGTTTCCCATCCAATGTTATGTATTTATAATCAAATTCATAATACAAAATGAGAATAATTTTATTTTAAATCTGAAAGAATTTTAAGTGTGTTCAGAGGAAACTTAATCCACATCCATATGTATGTGTTTGCAGGAAATAAATTATGCTTTTCACAACCTAGTGGTAGTTGTTAACTCACAGGAATTGCTGCATTTCTGCATTACAGCTGTATGTTTTCTAACAGAAACAGAACTATCTTCTACTTGCAACTTCAAAATGTAGGTCATTGTGTTGGTGAATGTAGGTCAGAGTGAAGGGGAAGAAGACAGAATGCAAACACCTCCACATGGATCTTTAAGCTTATCCCTGTTCTGAAGGTAAAGAGGCTTACCTACCTGTTCAAGCACAAGAAGCTTTTCCTTTTACTAAAATTAATGCAGGTATTCTGGCTTCTGGGCTTAGCTGGAAGCACTGTGTGCTTCCACACTTGAGACCCATGTTTGTGAAAGACCTCCTGACTCCTGCTTCTTTAGCTGCCAGCCACTTATGTCATTGCTGAGGTGATACTTCCTTCCTTATGGGGGAAGGAAGTGAGGAGAAGAGTCGTGTGCATCGCTAATGTCTGCCTAAAGAAGAGCATTGTCTTTCCAAAGCTGCTTTACCCTTCTCTCAGCACAGAGCTATATGATACACCTGCAGTTTCAGCTGGTATCAACATTGTAATGGTAGCAGGGGAAAGAAAGGTGACCCCTCATAAAAGATTTAGTGACACCATTCAAAGTGCCCTTTCAATAATAACCGTAGAAAAGTGAGAGACATTTGACTGAGGGTACTGAAAACTCAGATGTTGAAGGATTTTGATACATTTGAGTATTTTTAAAACTCATTCAGGCTTAAAGTTTGTTGTAAAAGGGTTTGGGTTTTTTGTGGGTGTGGGTTTTGGTTTGGTTTGGGGTTTTTTTGTTGTTTTGTGGGGTTTTTTGTAGTGTGAGATATAAGTATAATACCATTATAAATGGTATTAAATTAGCCATGTCTTCACTAAATATTAAAAAACACTTTTATTGCTTGAGTATACACCAGTCACTACAAACTGAAACATTCTTTATATTATACACTAACATATTTAAGCAGTTACTATATTTATTGCAAAATCTGTCATTTTAGCATATTTCAATGCTCAAAAGCATTGAAATGCTCAAAAGGGAGATGGAAAATCCTGTACCATTCTTAGTATATGTTTCACTGAAGAATGGGTAGTCGTGTGTGAATATTTTATTTTAACTCTTTACAAATCTAAGCAAAATAGTTTAGATGTAATCAGCCTAAACTGTCATAAACAAGACAAATATTACTTCAGAGTTTTTGTCATACATGTGAATTGTCACTATTTTTTTTTTTTTTTTACTTTAGGATCTTTCTCATGCAAATGTTATGTGCAAAGTTTTGGACGAGTCCTATCTAGGCTTTTGCTTGATCTGCCTGCAGGCAACACATTCATAAATTTTCCTTATTTATCACTGAGTAAGAGTAGTTCAGAATACTTACTGGATGGAAAGCAAGAATTAGATATTTGATAGTTACAATCCTGCTTTAAGTTATTTAAAAGGAAGACAGTTTTTCTACCAAACTTCTGCTTCTATTAAATAGTTGTGATGTTTTTAAAATCTCAAGAATAAAAAATTATTAAAAATGGTCTATAGGCTGCATGTGCATAGTAAGCTGCCTGGAATGTATAGTTTACCTGTCTAGAAATAGCTAAACAATGCTCCCACATGTCTGTTTTCAAGTTTACTGAAACCATTGAATTGTCTGTAGTTCATAATACTAAGTTTCTGTCACGTTAATTCATAATGCTGTGTGTTATGGGTGGAGGCTAACCCTGGTTTTTACATGTGGATAGGCATGTAAGCATGTTTTTTTGTTGCTAAGCAACAACAGATGGAAAACACATACAACTGTAATTTGGCCACATATGCCTTTGATTCATTCTCCTTTAACTTTGGGAACCCAACTCAAGTGTATGAATACGAGTCTGTTTTCCCCAGGCTCCCTCCAGCAATGGAGACTGGTGCCTGCAGGATCTGTGCTGCCCTCTCCATGGGCCACAGTGCTTTGATTAGATGTTCAAGTGTAGGTGGGAAACTGGTTTGACAAAACAGCAAGTTTTATGAGTGAACGGTGTTGAAGGGGTAAATCTGCATGGATGCCTCCAAGTACTTGCCAAGGTTGACAATGACCAGTGTAAGTTTTACGATGGAAGCTTATAAAGTCATGAATAATACAGATTAGGTGAAAAAAAAGCGTGATTGCTCCTGTCTATTCCCATACGAGAACTAGAGCGCCTCAAACAAAAATGACAGGGAGGCAAGTACGAATCAGGAGAAGAGAAGAAGTTTCTTTATACAGCTCAGTAAAGCTGTGGTGCTTCCTGCCACGGGATGCTGCAGCTATGGAAAATTTACTGCAGTCCACAGAACAATTAGAAAAATCCTTTGGTAACTATTAAACAGAACTTATCACTTGTATCTCCTCTCCTCCTCGGGAACTTCTTGAGCCACAACTAGAAATCATGCTGTGATATTTCCCTAGTCCTGCATTTGTCCTTAGCATATGTTGCTGGTCAATGTCCCTTACCGTCAGACTGATGCCTGACCTAATAAAACCGAAGAGAAAAGGAGCTAAATAAAAAGAAACTGGGAAGAAATGAAATGCCTGTAGAGAACAGCTAGTGAAAAAGGAGGGGGCTTCTGTCCACTGTTAGAAGCAGGCTACAAGGCAAGGTGGGCCTTGCATCTGGCCTGGTACAAACAGTTTGGTGTTCATATGAATACCCAAATGTCAGAAGTTTCATAGAATTAAATTTAAACTACTTTTAAAGTCTTGACAATTTTATGTCTGTGTATACATATATGTGTATGTTTATGTGTGTGTGTATCTATAAAGTGAATTTCTGATTGTTAGTTAAATGAAATCTGTTAAATATTCCGTTCCAATGCTTAAATCATAAGTCTTCCATTAAAAGTCTTACTTGTTTCTTTATTCCATGATATTATCGCAAATTAAAAAATTAAGTAGTTGGTAGAGGTCTGCAAATGGTAGTATGTACTCAAATAGTATTTTAGGCAAAAAAAAAAAAAAGTGTTCTAAGTTGAATATCTTTGTTTTGTAGGTCTCTGGCCATCTGAAGAAGTGATGGCTTACTACTGCATAAAGCACAATGAAATATTCAGGTACAGAGTTAAACATAAGAAGATATTTTCTAACCTGTTAGTTTTATTGTATCTGCACGGTAAAGATTGCTATGATTTAAGTCTTCAGATTAAATTTAAAATGTTCAAGGTGAAAGCATGTTGCTCTTAACAAAGAATTCTGAGCTGCCTTTGGGTACTAATATTGCACAGCAAGCTTTCTGCTATATGTCAAAGACTTTTGATTTCCACTCAAGGCATTTTATTTCACTTTGATTTTTGGGAAACAAAAGTGAAGCTCCAATCGATCAGTACTGATTGTGAAGGTCAGGAAAAATAAAAGACATTCTTTAAACTGACATCTGTTGCAAAAGCAAGCAAAATATTACTTGATAAAATACATAATAATCACTGCTTGTAGTGATGGAGGAATTTGCACGTGTATTTAAGTGTTGTGAAACAATTTTGAGACATCCTGCACTTTTATTTGTTTTTGTTTTTTCACATTTTCTAAACTTGTGGAAGACAGTTATCAAGACTCCAGTAGGAACACCTAAAAATAAAATCCATCCTGCATCCCCTCTCTTTCCCCTTGAGTATACAGAGCTTTGCACTTGGAAATCCTTGAAGTTTCCTTGTCCAGAGGATGAATGGGGTGTAAGAAAATCCATTATAACAATGCATTTGGAGGCATAAATTGTGTCCTGAGTGAGGGTGCAAGGCTAATACCAAGTAAACCAGCTTGGAGTATACAAAACCCCTCCGTCTGTGTACATATGGTCTTGGTAAAATAGGGAAGACCAAACTGTATGTCCCTGCCCCTTGTACCAAAGCTGAAAGAGCATCTGCTGTGAGCCGGTTCCTGCAGCTTGCTCAGACTGCTACCTGAAATCAAAGACCTGGCACCAGAGGATGTCCTGGTTCATAAAGCCTCATTTCTACTCCATCCACTACCTGAACGAAGCTCACCCCATTAGAGGAGGCAGCTAACATACCTGATCCTTCCTCCAGGTTTAGCTGGGCACTGCACTGTGTGAGTTTTTCTACTGTAGTGGTGTCCCTGTAGCACTTTGCCGTCCAGCCCCATGCCGTGGCTTGTATGCTCTGCTTGTTCTCAGGGGCTCTTCACAGCAAACCTCCCTGTCTGCTCACTAAAAGGGTATTTTCCTAGTTTGGGTATGCAAGCCTGGAGACAGCGATCAGTCAGACTTCGATGGAGGAAATGGGCAGTTTCACATCTTGATTTGTCAGGATTATGCTCTCTCAACAGTTCACTCAGAGTAGAGTTTCTTATTTTAATTCTCACTGATATATGTCACTAAGTATTGCCTGAGAATTGGATATGATTTTTTAAATTTGCTAATAAGGGAACTCTGCACTGAAATAAATTATTGATATTTATCAATATGAAAGTGTATATGTGTGTATGTATATGCTCATCTATTATGTACATACAAGTTTGGTGGTTCAAAATGCTATAAAAACCCCACACAAGATACTTTCTGTATTTATTTCAATTAACATGACTCTTAGAAAGGATTCAGTGCCTTGCAAATCTTATATGTATAAACATATGTTTATATTGTTAATATATATGACATATATGGTTTAGAAAAACAGACACTTATATGAGGAAAAACCTGTAATAATTCTATTTAAACCACAAACTGCAAATTTCCCACATCTCTTTTATGTTCTCCTTGGGTTTATATACAGCTTCTTCCTCTGAACTATTTCCATCTTTTGTTTCATTTCCATTAAATAGGGCAACTAGACTTTTTTCAAATAAAATTTGTGGAATCTTAAGAAAAACAAATTTACCCCATCCAGGCAGTGATCATTAGTATGGAGTCACACAGCCTAGTCCTCTGGCCTCAGTGAACAAAATATCTGCATCTGTATACTGATATGTCATCCTAGATGCTCTTCCTAAATATCGGTGTCGAGTGAGTAGGGAGGTAATACTTTTAGATAAAAATAGATTTTTAAGTGTTGGTATTTTAGGGGAGAAGAAAAGGTACACCAGAAAAAGATCTGTTTAGCTGAAATTCCATTTTCTGCCTGTCAAAAATATCTCGATGGGAACATTTCTGCCAGCTGTAACAGTTGCCGCAGATTTAGCTGTAAAGCAGCATGTTCCTAAACTGAGGCTCTGCCTTGCCCCAGACGCTGCTTCACGCAGTTTCGGCGCGGGGTCAGCGTCCCTCCCTCCTCCCCTCCCGGGGCAGGCCAAGGCTCGGGAGTACATTCTTTATGGCTCCCCCTGCAAGCTCCCATCCGGCACGCTCTCGGCGCCAAATTATATTTCACATGCACGCCTTAATAACAGCGCAGTATGGTCTAAGTTAAAAGCAGCCTTTTAGACCATGTATTCAGCCCTCTGCTCGCGCTCAGTTTAGGCTCTTGACACTAACTTTGTTCGGTTTTCTGTGGCTTAGCTGTTTGCTGTTCCCATCGTTGTTCATAACAGCGCTGCTTGTAGGTCACTTGCAGTTTTAAGTGCTAATTGAAGGATTGGATTTCTTAATGTGTAATTGTTTTGTGGTACACGGCTTGTTTTAAAACTTCGCTCCTTTTAATTTAAAAAGGCTTTTAGGCATAACTATATGGAGAGATATATAAATAATATTAATTTCCCCATTTACTTCTCTAACTGTTTTTGCAAGAATGAATGTGGATTAACATTGTTATCCTTTCCTAACAATTATCTTTCGCTACTCTAGCTAGTTTAGTTCTAAAAGACAGAGCCATTGACAAGGGAAAAAAGGGAACCTTCTCAGATTTTTCAGCTCAGCGGTGGTAATGTTGCACTGAACGCTAATGAGGGAACCCCCACTGATTTGCCTGCTTTGTGACTTTTCTATTTCATAATTATTTTTAAAACGCAAAACGACATGAGGTAGCCTAGTCATGTCTCTACAACTTCCTGGTAGCTCAGTTCTTACTGCAGATGGCAATTTGTTCTTGTAACATATATGTCGCTCTGACCATTTTCATCTAATTTGTATGGGTTCTACCATTTCCTTTCTCTCTTTCAGGGACCTTGCTGTGTGTGAGCTAGGGGGTGGCATGACATGCTTGGCTGGGCTCATGGTAGGTCTTTTCTCAATTCCAATCCCATTCAGAGGAAGAAACAAAAGGAAAAATGTTCCAGTGCCTCCAACTGCTGGGTCAGAGAACTGTCAACAGCCTCAGCTGCGGTCAAGCTGCAGAGTCTTGAGAGACCTTCTAGATTGACTTGCTTTCGTATCATATTGATTTTATGGTTGCCTCGATGAGCAGAAACATTTTACCTCCGTGTAGTCAATATCTCTTGTTGTCACATTCCAGGCCATGTACGGTCTGTCTTTCATTGCCATAGCCGAAGCTTTTTTTTTTTTTCAGATTATAGTCCCATTTGCTAAGATACAGGAATAGCCTGGCGAATCACAGTTGGAGCACCATGATATAGCTGCTAATGTTTTGCCTGCATTATTACACCAACAAACATGATCCAGAGCTCTCGGTAATTAGATTCTTTTGAATTAGATTGGCCATTCAGGAGAGTCGTTCACCATTCTCTGGGTTCTGAGTCATGTATTCAGGAGATATTATGTAGCAGTGCAGTGCATTAGACAAGTTTTTATGTCTCTACAAATAAAAGCATATTGTTACACTGATTGGCATTTGACAAACCTGTCGCTCTTATACAATGTGTCGAGGTTACAGCCCAATGTGCGAGCATGTCAAAGCTCACAAAAAAATTACCCTTACAAAGCCATCTGCCTGCAATGCAAAGTTATATGAAGGGCATCAGGCAGTCAGACAGAAGCAAGCTGAAAGGCAGAGTGACAGCCTTGTATGATGGCTCTACTAGATAAACAGAAGCCCGCAAATGAAAGCCTCTCAGAATACCATCATCCGCTGTCACAATGCAATTACGGAACAGAATGATAGCAAGATAGAGGCTCCCGCAAATGGAATGATAAAAGTATTGACTGATTTGATTGAATGATTAAAATAATGCAGACATAAAATGAAAAAAGATTGAAGATTGTTACAGAGAAATAGGTGAGGAAGCATGATACTGAAGGCTTGTCACTTCTGTCTTCACTTCCACACAGACAAGCATATTTGCTCATTGTTTGCTGTGCTCTTTTTTTCAGGTTGCTATTTCTGCAGATGTCAAAGAAGTTCTGTTAACTGATGGAAATGAAAAGGCCATCAAAAGTATCCTTATTCAGATAGAAAACTGGTTTGTTGTGCTCATTCCTTTTTACTGGCTGAGTAACAATCGATATAAAGACAGACAGCATGGGGTATATTAAGAAAAAGTCCCCACATAGGTAATTAAAAAATAGATGTAGAATATCTTGAACAGAGCTACAGCTTCCTGCAAAGTAAATGCCACATTTTCTTTAATTAAAAATGTATGTGTTGGTATAGAGCGAGTACAGTAGTAAATATTTGTCTTACAGTTGAGTGCTGAAAGATTCCTTGTGTGTACGCTGCACGTTACAGGAGGTGTAGCAGCGAAACAAATCATTACCTCCTCTTCACATATTCGTTGTGCAGAAGAACTAGATGCATTTATTTTTCACTTTCAGATACTAGCCTCTTAAAACATACCCAGTATTTGTATTTTGGCATAGCTTTTCCAGTGCATATTGAAATGCATGGTTTCATTGTTGCTGCTAAGTTATAACTGCCTACAAATTACCCATTTAGTGTGCTTAATCAATTATCAATTTATCATTATTTCTCTTGATGTAAGATTGCAAAACTCCTCTGTGTCTTGTAGAAAGTATTTTATTATATTCCTTATATTAGAATAAATTGCTGTTATGCCCTTCTAATATCAACACATAGTTCATAAAATTGAACTGTACTTTGGCTAAGCGAGAGAATGAGTGAGCATAATTTGTGGCCACATTAAATATCAGCACAGAACAAGAGCAGATATATACAGTGAATACTAATAGCCCTTAGAAATTGAGAGGAAAAAAAGGAAGATAACTCTTTGCTTTTGTTCCTTGGTAATCTTTCCATTTGCATTTAAGGCAGACTAGTTTTTCAGGTTTTGGCCACTGCATCATCAGAATTATTTAGATTTTAGTTTTTTATTAATTTGAGAGCTACCATAATGAGTACTTAGTGAAAAAAATAAACTAATTTGTGGTTTAAAAAATTGCAGTTGCTGATGACTGTTAAAACAGGAGACATTGCAGTGCAATAATATTAGCTGCTACCTTTAAAAAGACTTTCTCAGAGGTAACTGAGGTAACTATAATTGCTTACACCACTTTAACAATTTCATGGGAAAAACAGACAATCCTGGAACATATCGTTTAAAACTTGAAGGAAACCTTATAAAAGTCTCCTTTTTCTTGAAAAAGCAAATTCTCAGATGTGCTCCAAGGATTCTTATTTTGTTAAATTCTAGTTTGTTATGCTGCTGTCTTGAGAAGGAATTATTCATTATTCTGTGTATTTTAACCAGCATCAGCCTTTCCAATCTTTCCTCTATGTCGTTATGGAGATAAAAAATGTGGGAGAAAAAAAGTGTTTGAAAACTAGCCTAACAAAACAAACTGATGTTTTATAGAAGCATAGTTATTTAGCAAAAGGTCATTTTATCAACTGAACACTTCAGGTGAGCTCAGTAATCATCAAGTCAGCAAATATCTTGCATGGCAGATTCCATAAACATACCTGAACTTTTCTGAAATTCGGAAGTCTTCTACAGCAAAGAAAATTGGTGAGCGCTAAAAGTATTCACTCAGTCTTTGGAATTAAACAAATTAAAATGCTTTTATTCCTGAAAAATATACTGTTAATGTCATCTAATTAGCACACCTTAGTTTTCCACAATATGTTTTAGAAATATCTTTTATTTCCAAAAGTCTTACAAGAAGTCTTCATCTGTATTCACTCAGTGAATCCCTTTCAGAGAAGCGATTGGTAGAAGGCTCTAACAGGAATTTATTTTTCTTTTTTAACATTTGGTGCTCTGAAGGCTCAGCATTCAAAGTGCTTTTATTGTGTTGGATTTTACAATGGGCTTAATATTAGCAGGGTGCCAAAGTGCAGCAGACTAAGAACTTTACAGTGTCGGTGGAATGCGTTCTTAACAGTGCACATAATAAATTTATGTTGCTTTTTATGTGTTTTATGGACATCAGTAGCAATTTTATGATCTGTCTTATGGTAATTTTCTTTTGCATTCTTTTCTATAGTGACTAGTTATAACAGAAGTTTAGACCAGATTTAGATCTGGTTCAGCCACCCCAGACTCACTGAAATCAGTAAGAATTTTTAGTGTAATTGGAAATAGTATTTGGCCCCTAGTGCCACGGACTACAAATTATGGATTTCTGTTAATTTTTATTGTTGCTGATTATTTTTTTAAATTGTTCAGCATACCAAATTAAATTAATGTGGGAGAAAATACTGTTTTCTTTTCTAGATTCTGCTCTTCAGGAATAGTTAATGCCTAGTATTTTGCTTTTTATGTAGGTATTATGGATTAAAATAATCTTGTTTAAAAATTACTGTTTACATCTTCCCTTTAAATTTCTTAGGAAGCTTAAATTACATGCCAGTCATACTATAATATCCAAAAATTACTTTCCAAAAAGTAAAAGTGGTTGTCAACAAAAAAGAAAAAAAAATCACTGTCAGAAGCCAGGAAATCACCAAGCAAGCCTGCTAATTATTCTTAATGGGCAAGATGAGCACATTAAGAAACAAATGAATACATCAGTGAAATGTAATTGAAAATCGACCTGGCAATAGTGCATTGCATCTGAGAATCTGCCTTTGTATTATCATCATCATCATAATTATTGTTGTTTTTGTTGTTGTTATCGCTATTCAGTGAGCGTAACTAACAGCTTTGCTTTGTGAAGTCTCCAGCTTTTGAGGATTTGATTTTTCTTTTAATTTTTGACATTATTCATATTATCCTCCATTTCATACTGCCACAGGAAGTATTCACTATATATATATATTCAATATCTATATTAAGATATGTTATGGAAATGTTACAAGTTTTAAAAATTTGCAAATATGTTAATTTCAAATAATTGTTGTCATTTTAACCATTTCACTGTGAAATACGTAGCTATATTTTATATTAATCACTGGTCTTATGCATGAGGCTTATGGAAGTTTTTAAAAAGATATTATGATTTGAGTTACTACTCCATTTAAAATACTTCACTCAACTCACTCCTTTTGTTTATCATGGGCAGATTTTAATTGACTAACAGATCATTTATATTGCAAAATCATTCAAATACAAACAGATGGTAGTGCTTTTGCAGCTTTATTCAAAACTTTATTGTTGATTTAGTGTGTTTTATTTAAGTTTTTCAGGATCACTTAAAGTAAGAAAATATTAAAAAAATACATAGATATTTCAAGTGAATAATAAACATATATATAGGCAAAGTTATCAGATTCCTTGACCTTTGTAATTTTTGGTGATAAGCATTCAGATACAAATTTTCTGACTTAGGTAATACCTATGATATAGTCAGTCATGAACATCAAAATCTGTTTCCCCAGAACACTGGAAGCATCTATAATTCAGTTCAACATGTCCAAATCCAAGGATGAGGTTCGTTTTTAGTAAAATTTGTCTGCTATTTCAGAGAGGGTGTGTACCTTCTACCTTAGCTGCGTTTCACACCATGCACTAGTGCCTTGAACTACTGTCTGAAAGCATCAGTAATACAAAACATTGTTGCAGTGCACTATAATGGCCATTAAAATATAGTGTATGGATCTTTCAGCAGTCCTGGGAAATTTAGGTTAGAAAGGTCATGTTCAGCCTGAATGCCTGAAGATATGGGCTCAGAAATTATTTAAAAAAGCTAGTGTTAACATGTTTGCAACAATTATTAATAGTTCTGCTCAATTATATAATTGAAGTGCAGTGTAGCTAATTTATCAACAATATTACTTCCATCTCTACTTAAAAATAGCATGCTTTGCTCATGGAATTATTTATGCCTTCCTTTTGCTGCACAGCTATAGACCATTCATTACCACTTCTCATTACATATTTTGGAAAAGATTTAAAAGGCATGTCCAAACTACAGTTTTCTGTCATTTCATTTCTAGTTTTTGGCTTCATGAGATATCAGTTGTGTTGTCTTTTACATTGTTTGGATAGAGACTTTCCTAAAATAACTTTTCTTAAATAGCCAACTGTGTTAGGAAGGCAAACTATGTGATTTCAGCAAAGCTACTAAAATTATAGTTCAGTAATATTTTAAATTAGCCTCACACTAGTGTTCAATTTTCTTATAATAGCACTTGCAAAGAATTCAACGTATTTTGTGCACCTAGAAACATCGTCCTAATTAGCATCAGATTTCTCGTACCTTAAATAAGAGGGATCTTTGACATCGTTAACAAAAATGTCCATTTAAGATAATTTTTTATATTTAAGAGTGAATTGTTTAAACATGTATGGACTCACAGTGAGTGAATACATTTAGTATTCTCATAGTTTTCAGTTACTTGCTACACCTTTTCCTTCCAGTGGCTTCTCACTAACAACAAACGATTGATTATGAAGGTTATCTTTCTAGGCATAGATGACTGGGCACAGCTTCCCTTGAAACTTTTCATTGACAACCCTTGCTTTGGCCTGACTGGATGGCTACCCAAATTTCTGACCTGATCTTCCAAACTGAAAGAAGCGCAGACAAGAGGCTGGAGCACTGTTGCGGTGCCTACGGGGAAGAAAAGCCATTTATTGCTTTGTACTGTCTTTTATGGTAGTTCCAAACCATTCTTAAGAAAGCAAATGGACAGAAAGCCCCTTGCCTCTAGGTTAAAGTGCTCCCATTGTGAGTTGGATTTCACCCAGACAGAACCAGAAGCAAAGGTATGTCTCTTGTGGCAGGGCAGGTACTCAAAATCCATAAGCCTCCAAAATCTCAGCACTGTGGGTCTAGTGATGCATTCGAAAGCAGCACAAACTAAACTGGACATTAAGTGTCTGTGCTAAAAAATTTCTGTTCACCATGATTTTAATTCTTATATTTGTAAACAATAGTTGCCTTTAAATGTATATCAGATATGGGAAATCTTTTTCACTTCTCTCTATAGTTACAGGGCTAGCAATTCCTTAAATGAACCAATAAATAGAGGTAGGCAGCAAGAGCAAGTTGCTGCATAGGTATATGGCTGATGTGCTGGAGTAGCAATGTAGAATTGATGCTTCTGAAGAAAGACTGACTCTTAAACACAGATTTAAGAAGACCAAACAGATAAAAGACATTATGAAGGTATTACCAATGGAAAAAAGTATTTTTTATTATTTTTATTACTGCTCAAGTTTTGTAGATCGTTCTTAACAAATATGCTACAGATGTAAGTGAGATCATCACAAGAAACCACAATGCAGGAATATTTAAGGCTCAGAAAGTGTCAAGCTGGTAAGATTCTACTAAACTGTTTTACTGATTCTTTTATGGAATTGTGTATTTAATGTAAATGTTAAATGTATGCAAAAGTGTGAAAGCATGACCTGTGTTACTGATGCTGACACAGATGTATATACAATATAAGTAGGTAAGTAATGCAAGACAGAAATTTTGAAGTACTAAAAAAAAAAATTAATTGCTTTTTAACATAGCAAATATAGTATGATTAATCTTGGTGACATAACCTCTCTTTCCTTTTTATTTTTTTTTTTAAATATACACAGTGTCTCTTCAAGCTGTGGTTTAGTGCATGGTTGAAATTTGTCTGCTTCAGAATCAACATGACCCATTGTACTGAATACGAGGCTTGGAATGAATGTACCTAAATCACTGGCAGGTTTCATTTTAAATAGCTCTGAGAGTTCAGAGTGGCAACAAATCCCATTTGCCCCTGAAGCAGATGGTGTTGGAGCATCCATGGGAGGTTTTTTGGTCATCCTATCTGTGCTATTAGTATTGTGCTGTCGCTGGAAGGACAGATGGGGAGCATGGGAGCCAGGTACAGCATGCTGGGACCCTTCTCTCGTTGACTATGTCCTAAGGTGCAAGGCGCACCCAGTATTTTTCTTATAGTGGCAGACCTGAAGGCATGTTTTGGAGGGTGAGCATTGTAGGGATTCAGAGAATTTGGTTTCAGATCACCTCCAGAGCCCTTCCAGACCCACCCTGCAATAGGTGGTGCCACTGAAGTTAGCTGTTTGTCTATTTCATTGAAGCACCTCCAGGTACAGTAGGGACCAGAAGCAGCTGAAAATTTGAAGTGTGTTCATCTCTTGTTGTGTTTTAAAAGTAAATTTTGAAGTATTTCATATTCATGGTATGGGGTTCAGAATTAGAATTAGCTCAGAGATGGCTAACTAGGAGCGAAAAGAAAAGTCTTATTTGTGTGTTTAAATCTTCTTTTTTTGATGATTCTCATTCCAGAAGGGCTCTTAGTCCTTCTCAAAGTGACAAAAGTAAAGCTGAAAAAGAGCTGAGAAAGGCACGCTGTTTCAGCAGAATAAGCTTATTAACATAGAGGGTTAAACCCATACAGTTTTAATGGCTATCATGCACATAATTTATCGCTATGCTTATGTAGCCATTCTGTGTAGAGAAGTTCTTTTAAGTGAGCACTTAGGGTTAGAAAAATTCTGCCTTCATTAGGGTGTACGTGCATATAACTTAGAGATATATCTCTGCGTCCTAATAAGTGCCTGCCAAGTAGACAAAGGCTGCTCAGGCCCCAGGAATGGTCTTTCAGGTTCCATGTGCTGAACGCTTCTTGTGAGCAGCTTCAAACACTCATCCCTGCTGAGGAGAGGCTATGTGGTACGTCCATCCAGAAGCTTAGATTTTGTAGATTTCCAATTGCCATCTACTTTGTATGAGATTTCAGATTTCATCCCTTGTCAAGACTTCAAACCTGGTCTTTTAGATATCAATCAAAAGCACATTTTCTACTCTGTCCTCATTTACATTTATCTAATGCTTAAGGTCATTTGTGATCATTTGAGTGTATTTCAGCATATGGAATCAGTGAATAATAGATTTCAGCCTCACGCTGTGAAGATAGATTGTGTTTTTACAAGACATGATGTTGTTTACTGGGTGTTAATAATCACTAATTAATAAACATATCTAGATGTCATAAAATGTTGCATTTTAAAGAGTAAAAATGTCAAGTGTTTAACTTCTTAAGACAATAGCATTTGGGGCCTTATTTGCATAAATAAAATAATTAAATTACAAAATAAAGTCAAGTACTGTATCAAACCATAAGGCTCGTTCTAATAAACACATAATCTTAAGACTTTTGCAGATGTGTTACAACAGTGTAAAGTTTTATAAAATAAGTATTCAAATTACTCTCTGATCCTAAATAATGATCATCGTGCATTTCTGTCTTTTACACATTAATAGCTGGTTTGTCAAAATTAAAGTAATGCTTTGGTTACTTATTTGAGAAGTGCTAATGGATGGATCAGTCCTTCTGACTCAGTAATGACATGTGATGAAGGCAGCAACAAAATTATTTGATCACTTCTCAAGGCCTTGAAGAAACTAAAAGGCTGATGTAAAATCTGAAATGTTACCGTAACCCTGATTCACTTTTCTTACAACTGAAGACTTTAGTTATATAATCATAATGAGGGGGGGAAAAAGAAAAGTAAGAAAATGTAGTGGATTTTAGGGAAGAGTGCAACACTGGCCTGCAAAGTGACATTAGGTGACTTGTTTTATGTTAGTCAGAGCTTGCAGGCAAATGAGTGTAGTGAAGTATTTAGGTGACTTGCTGCAACATTAATTTAATCTGGAGAAGGCATGTTCCTCACTCCAATGTATTGTTTAAACAGTGTCCAGGCTTGCAACTTTACACGCTGTCCAGTGCAAAGTTACAAGATTCTTTCCATATAAAAGATAATTCAGAATAGAACCTTCTCACTGTACTTTCATCTCACATCAGGATCTTGTACTCTTTTCTTTGCACATGGAGCAGAAATTATCAGTATGAGAGTCAGTTTGTGACTGTTCCAGACATTTAAGTCTAGACTTGGAAAATATGCCAAAAAATGTATGGCACAAAAGAGAACAATCCAGTATCAGCCAAGAGAAGGTAGATTAGGACAACCTGCTGTACATTTATTTATTTAGATTTATACAAAATGCAGTAAATGAGCACTTATCTAGCTCTCTGCCAACTCTTGATTATTGTTTAAAAGTACAGTAATGTAAGCCAAACTGGCAGTTTGTCATATTATGTGTTATAATATAATAATAGATATTTAGTAAACAGTTTACTTCAACAGTGGATATACAATTCTATTTTATTTTTAGCTTCCATGAATGTGTTCAGAATTTCTTGCTTATGCTTACTGGAAATAGGTACGTACAGTAATGCCACCAAGTTACTAATAATTACTTGCCATAGTAAGGTGAATTATTAATACCATGTAGGGCTTTGACAATTTTTTTTCATAGACCAAAAATTATCCATGAATTGCATTGTTTACCCCATAACTTAGCATATGAGTCATCCTGATAGCAGTCTTTGTACCATTAACTTTTATTAGTTTGTTGTGCATTATATCATTGTTTTGAACATGTCCACCAATGATTAAATTAGCAATAGCAAGGTCAAGGTATCTCTACTCTTTTTCTTCTCTTTATTTTAATGTGAAAATCTTCCTGAAGAAGGGGTTTGGGCAGTAGAATTTTGAAAAATTGTTACAAATGTCATGATGAAAAAGCTTTATCAAAGAGGAAGGCTTGCAGTATATTCTAAAATTTAACAGACTGTCTTAGCTACCAGGGAATTTGTTCTTCCATCAGATTTCCTTGCCTGAGAAGACCAAGTATGTTAAGAACAAAATTTGTATACTTATTGCTGATATGGGACCTGTGAGTTTTAGCTGTGGACAAGTCTGTTGTTTTGCTAAGAGTTGCCTCAGAGAGAGAGATTACATTCCATGTAAGAGTGTAAACAAGTACATATAATATCAAGTCAGTGAAAGAAATTCTTGTGGCATGATACAGTCTTTGATTTGATTAATAATAATCAAATATCAATATCAAGAATGTATGACCATGTGACCAAAAGTGGCAATTCCTTCTCCTTAAAGATTAACAGATAGGTTATAACCTTATCTGAGTTTTTAGTGTTCCTTACAAATGTAATGAATTTGCAAGCTTCCAGGATTAAACCTAAAAAAGAAAAAAAGTCTTTCTAAAGACTAAATGACATCTGGTACAATAGTGGATGAGGTTTCAATGACAAAGCACTGAACTATATCGCTCTGATTCCATTCTTATATAAAGTTACCTCTTTCTCTGTAACTGTCAACATGTGAATATTTTACTTTACTGTGATGTTCTTCAAATATGCCAACTTTCTAACCTTCCTGATTTCAACTAGGAAGTTGAAACCTGTCGTGTAACAGGTTCCATTAATGTAGGACAGCCTTAATAAAGATTCTCTCCCTCTTTTCATTCATCAAAATGGGTGTTGCTAAATTCAAACTTTTTGAAAACATATTTGTTGAACTTGTATTTGTCAACTTAGCAACCCTAAAGGAATGCCTTTCTTCCAACTACTTTTCCAGTCTCCTCATCTAACACTCTTACATGACAGTGTCTATTGGCAAGGAGGAAGCTACCAAAAGGAACATTTCCTTCTCTTTGGTTAGAGAGAAAAAGGTCCTGGTTTCTGTTCTCTTAATTTGATCACTTTATGTGTGTGTGGGAAGAAACAATGAATGGTCTGTCTGTTCATGCCCATTGTGAATTTGTAACGCGCGTCTCAACTTAGGTAGAAACCATTCCATACCTCTGATCATACTTACCCTGCTCTATATCTTTTCCAGTTTCAATCTACTCATTTACAGATGAGAGTGATCAGTACTGCATTCAAAGTGTGCATAAATGATAGATCTATGTAGTGGAATAATTATGCTTTCTGTTCCTCTTCTAAAAATGCTGCAGTGGAGCACTGAGCTAATATTTTCATGACAGTTTGTCACAATATCAGGAGCTTTCCAGTCTGGTCAGTTTGGAGACCTTCATTTTCTTTATCAAGCCAGAATTAATTTTCCCATTGTGCACTTTGCATTTATGCACACTGAATTTCATCTGTCATTTTATTGTCCAGTTGCTCAGTTTCATTGTTCTACAATTCTTCACAGTCTGCACTTTTCCTTACTATCTTGAATAACTTCTTAACATCAGCAAACTTCGCCACCTCAGTGCTCATCTCTTATAAACATGCTGAATAGAACAGGTCCCAGGGGAGCTCCACTGATTATCTCTCTCCATTGTGAGAACTAACCATTTACCACTACCTTGTTCCCTGTCTTTTGTTCTGTTATTTAGCCTTGCAGGACTCCTCTCCAGTGGCTGTCTGCTTTCCTTAGATGATGATGGTGAGGGTCTTTGCCAACAGTTGTGTGTTACTGAGATCACCCTTATCTGAATAC